GAGCGTTCCAAGGAGGAACGTCTCCATGATGTGAATATGAGAAGTAGTGTAGTATGACCATGGATTAAGCTACTGATGGCTGTTCATCCTGATATTCCGTGATTGCTCATCCTCATGTAGAGGAGAGTAGTTCATGCGTGGGAATGGCAGGAGGCCCTAGTCCTTATAGTACTTGGGCTGATAAGGGTTAACCTCGGGTGGCAGCTGTTGAGGGTATCCCAGTTACTACATCACCCGGGTGCAAGAACGCCTGTAGATACATGGATCATACGGTCCGGACAGTCTTTAATTATGAGAATTTGGATGAGTTAATGTTTGCGTGGATATGTGTTTAATATTGTATGAATTGTATGACTGATTTTATAAGTTAAATTATGTTGATTTTATTGAATTAAATTACCTAAGCTTACCCTTGCAATTTCCTTGTGTTGTCTACTGTTTCTGTATGTCCGTCTTGTCAATGCAATGATCATCCGTTGTGGATGTGAGCAGATGGTGAGGCACCCCTTGAAACACTGCTGGAAGAAGAAAATTTGGAGGATGTCAACCTCGTAGAAGTTGAAGTTAAAGCCGAGCAGTAGAGGCTCATTCCGTAGCAGTTTTAGGATTTAGTTCTGTACTGTATTTTGACAGTTCTGTATATAGTTTTGCAGAATTGTAAATACTGAACTGTTTTATATTTTGATGAGTTTCTGAACACTGTAAAGTGCTGCAAGTTCAGTTTTAAATGTTGAGCATCTGCTGTAATGTACTGTACAGTACTGTTTATTTTTATACGTGCTGTTTTCTTTTGGAGCAGCTGTTATTTATTTTAAGACTGCACTGTATTTTCTGTAAATGTGATTAGTTCTGATTAATGGTGATTACTATTTATTGGGATGTTACAATTTACATATATTATATAAAACTCATAAACGCAAATAATTTTTTTCTTTTTTAAATTGATATACAAAATTTATGTTCCAATTGAAAAAAAAATGTAAATTTACGTTTATTACAAAATTAACACAGGTAAATTCATGTCTGTTTTTAGTTTTAATGTCAATTATAAGTATAACATTGGACATTTTATGGTTGTGAAAAATATTTTCTCCATTAGTATTAAAAAATTTGATTAACTTTGTAAGTATTATATATATATATATATATATATATATATAATAGTATCTTTAGATCAAGATCTTATTTTTTGGTGGGTCTCTGTCATGCAGATACAAGATTTCACTTTGATTTTTAAATCTAAGTTTGTATGTTGGTCTCACAATTTAATTTAATTTTAAATTAAATAAATAAATTCAACTATTTAAAATTAATTCAAATTAGAAATATTAGTACTTGATACTTTTAATATTAATTACTATGATGGTGAACATTTTAATATTAATAATTACTTTTAATATTTTAGACAGTCATAGGTATACGAGCTAAACAATTTTATATACATTTTATTACAAATTAAACTCAATTATTTAATCTAAAAATTGAACATAATTATTAATTTTAATGTATTTCACACACTTTATTTAGAATATAAAAAAATAACAACAGTCAATACAAGTTGTAGAATCCGTAGATTTTTCTTGTTTTGTAAAAGGAATATATTTTATCTTTCCATTCAGTTTTGATCGTCGCAAATTTTTCCACTCAAATTTTTATGGTTGAGGTATATTTATGGATGCAATTGGGGGATTTCTTCCTGCAGTCCCATGTTTTCTTCCTACACTCCATAGACTTAGTGAAATAACTTAATTACCCTTATTAAAATGTAATTTAAAATCCTAATTTCATTTCAGGTTTTCCTAAGGTCACTCTGAACATCCATTGGCTCCATAGTGTGTGAGCCTACCTCCTTGATCTCCTATGCATTTATTCCGTTTCAATAGCATGTGTAAAATTATATTTTAAATTGTATAATTTCTAATGTAAAATTGTATTATTGAGCGTACAATTCATATATAAAATTTTATTTTGGATTGTAAAATTTATAATGTAAAATTATATTTTTGATTATGTAATTTGGAATGTAATTTAAATTTCAGATTGTATTTTGAATTATAGATGGTACAATCTGAAATGTATAGATTATATAATTTGAAATGTAACAATTTAGAATCTAATTTAAATTTTAAATTATCTTCTAAATTTACATTATAATTGTACAATCAAAAATACAAATTTATATTTCAAATTTTATATTCCAAAATATGTAAAATTAATATTTTTAAATTTTAAATGGTATAATTCACAATATCCACCAAAACTATAATTAAAACACGAAAAAGAAAAACCTTATACTATCTTTTTCTATAAATTTAAGATGAATGTACTTAGAATTTTAGGAAGTATGGGGTTCAAGAAGAAAACCTGGGGTAGTGCAGCCATGATATTGCAATTAAGACCCTGCCATTTCAGAGGGTGGATATCCTTGTAGAGGCTTTTTTTTTCTCCAAATTTTTAGTGGGTATAGGCACTTGAAAAAGTAAACAAAGACAAACTTTAAATTAGTGTCGTGAAAACGAACTAGAATCCGTGAGTCAATCCCGATTCAGTTTGGATTGGTTTGAAAAAAATTTTGAAATTTTGATATAGGCCAATTTTGGATCTGGCATACTAAGAATCTGGTTCACTTGAATTTAACCCACAAGTCACTTAATTTTTCTAATAAGTATTTTTTGTTGGGTTAGTCATTTTACAAAATATTGAAATAAAGACTTGTGTGATTATTTTTGTGTGGAATAATTAGATAATATAAAAAATTCACAAATTTATACTTAGTAACTCAAGTTTTGTTAAGAAAATTTGTGATATGTTTGTGTGAATGAAACTTTATCTGTGATTGATCATAAATATAATTTAAGACCATTTACCTTTATTTATATTTGAATTAGAAAATTTTTGTAATTTTTATTAATTGAAAAAAAACGTATAATTAAGTGAGTTAGTAAGCTAATCCTTTTACACCCACCAACTTGTGATAGGTCAGGTTGGTTTCAAATTAATAAGTAAGTCGAATGAATTAAGTTGAACTAAGTAACTCCTTTTGACAGCACTATTTTAAATCTTGTTTTCTGGATGTTTGAATGTTAATTCTAATTAAATTTGAATGTTAAATTCAATCATTTACTCATACTCAATACAAACTTTATTCTGTAAATTACATGTAAAATTCCAATTATTATTAAAGAATAAGTAAAAGCATTTAAGAAACTAGATAACACTGTTGATAAAAGAAACGTAACAACCAAGATATTTAAACTTTCTTATAGGAAAAGCAGACATCTTTCTATAAATCAAAGAATAAATAACCAAAAAAACAAAACCTATAAAGCATAAGCTATGCAAATATTTTCACTAATAAAAAAAAATATTCTTTGTAACTATTTTTAACCTAAAAGACAAAAAGATTTTTTCCTAATGAAAATATTTGTTTCGTTATTGGTTATGTGGTTATGTAGGTAAAAGTAAAAAAAAAAAAGTTTAAAGAATAAACCTAATAATAGGCATAAGCTTCGGTTATTCCACCACATGTAGTTTTAAATATATAATTTTGAACTATTCTAGAAATTTTAAAAAATAGGTCTCAGTTAACAGAAAGAACTAAACCATA